AATTTGGCCCAGTAGTTTCAGAGGAGAAGATTTTTGTAAAAGTTTACGGACGACGGACGACGGACGACAAGTGATGAGAAAAGCTCACTTGACCTTTCAGGTCAGGTGAGCTAACAAGAAGCTAAGATGACAACCGATATGTCAGACAGATATATACAAAATGTATCACAACCACTCTCCTTTATACCAGAATTTGATACTCATATACTTACGATCTGGCATGTGTCATGTATATATACTGATTGATTGATTGGTATTTAATGCCAATTTCAGCACTATTGTGATATTTCGTGGCGGTAATTTTTATTTGTGACAGAAGCCGCAGTGCCCGGAGAGAACCACCGACCTTCGGAAGGAAAACTGACAATCCTAGTCAATTAAGATTGGAGTCGAGCGCACCTGCCACTTGTCGGATTCGGACTCGCAACCTCAGAAAACGAGGCACCTGTATATATACCTGAGAAAGTGTCCTCAACATGTAGGGCCGGGGGAAATAGCGCCAATATTTTATTTCAGATAAAAAGACATTAAAAATATATTGTCATTAGTATATTTGAACATCAGATTTTCGATCAGCAATAAATTTTAATTGCATGCTTTCAAATATCCCTATGGCCCATTTCAATTTAATACAAAATCGTGATGACTTTCAGATATGCAGTGGTGATTCTTCATAAATGTTTTTTTTTCCACCAAGGCGACATAAAGTGTTATAAACTATACATGTATGTATTAGATACATGTTGAGGGTGTTAGCCCGAATGGGTGTATCTCATTTACACCAAGATAATTATTGTCAATGCAGAATGATAGTTTTCAATAATTTAGGAGGGGGTCTTTCAGCGATTTGACCATGTGTTATTAAAAAGCATGATGAATGCAGGGTATCCAATTTCATTTAACGAAGTATCATGGTCAGTCTTTTATTATTTGAACATTTGCATCTTCCATGAATTGAGATCAATGCATCACTTTGATTATCTTTTTTGTAACAAAATTTACTTATGTTAGGTTTACATTTTTCCTTAATTTTATCAATTGTTTTGATATTTTTTTTTATTTTTCCTTGCAAAAAAAAATTGTTCCATTCTTAGGAATTTTATTTTCAGGTTTAAAGAACATGTGCTATACCTTCATAGCTCAGCATCTTTTATCTTCAGTAATACATGAATAGAGCGAAGAAATTATTAATTCCTTCTACTAAAGAAATTTTACGATTCAACTCCAACAACTTAGAAATACTGTTAGTCCAACTATTCATCACATTTTCACAGCTAATCAATTATTTTATTTTAAATACCTTTTCTCTGTCAAATAATTAACCCTGTCTAATCACATATGATATGATTGGATTTTTCAACTGTAAAAATAACTTGTGACCTCCAAATTCAATAAAATGCTCCGCTGGGCTTAGCTTGATACGACCGCAGAGGTCGAAACCCTGAACAGTTGGGGCAAGTATGGACACAACATTCAAGCTTGATACATCACTGAATTTGGATTGTGATTAAATATTTGACACAGCATAGGTTTCTGACACAGAATGAATGTGGTCTAAGAACTTAGAAAATCTTTAATTTACCTATTCAAACCATATCATTATTATTTGCTTTTATACCGGGTATATAAATCAGAAATAACCAATTTAAAATGGAAAATTTTAAAGAAAAAAAAATGAAAAAAAAATCCCTCCCCCAAATTTTTTGAACCCCCTTATGATTCATCACCCCCAAACTCAATCCCAGCCTTCCCTTTGTGGTATGGTACCTTGCAGTACAATTTCAGAGCGATCCATACACTTGAACACAAGTTATTGTCTGGAAACTAGAAAAATGCTTGTTTTAGGCCCCTTTTTGGCCCCAAATTCCTAAATGTTTTGGGCAATTACTGTGGATTCATTATTATTTGTTGGATACCAATTTTCGTGGGTTTCGTGGGTACAGGTGAACCACGAATTCAAATGTTCAACGAATTACAAATGCTAATTTGGCTTTGTATGCAGAGATTGGCAAAACCACGAAATCAAATATCCACGAAAATGCAAGTGTTCCTCAATCCACGAAAATTGATACCCACGAAAACAAATGAATCCACAGTACCCCCCAAACTCATTTCCAGCTTTCCCTTTGTGATATGGAACTTTGTAGTACAATTTCAGAAAGATCCATACACTGACACACAAGTTATTGTCATAAAACTAGAAAAATGCTTGTATTTGCCCCTTTTTTTGCCCCTAATTCCTAAAATTTTGAGGTAATTACCCCCAAAATCAAGCCCAGCATTCCCTTTGTAATATGGAACCTTGTGGTACAATGTCAGAGAGATCCATACACTAACACACAAGTTATGTCTGGAAGTTACAAAAATGCTTATTTTTGGCCCCTAACTCCTTAACTGTTGGTACCATAACCCCCATAATCAATCCAAACCTTCCTTTTGTGGTATTGAACCTTATGGTAAAATTTCATAGAGATCCATTCACTTAAACTAAAGTTAGAGTGCGAAAACCAATGTGTCTTCGGACGACGACGACGTTGCCAACGTCATACCAATATAGTATATACGACCGCAAAATTTTTTTGCGGTTGTATAAAACGGGGTTCTCAGTTTTTGGATAAGTCATGACATACATTACTTACCCAAGTTAGATATGCATCACTTATCAATACAAGTTCTTTCATAGAATATGTTGAAATGCTTGAATCAATTGTCTTGCAAAAAATGGATATATACAGAAATTTAACTACAGGTATTAAGTGTTTTCTCTACAAAGTTTTTAAAAGAAAGGACAAAAATTAAGGCATGCATCATTATCAAAAATCACAAAACTGACATTAAATTGCAAAAATAATTCTCCAACTAATTTATGACTAATCCCTCAGTGGCAGAAAAGTTGGCAACAACCATTTCAAGTATCATTAAAATTATTCAGGACTTTTAAACTGGAAAATCCCCCCTTTTTTAAAGAATAAAACCCAAAAACTCGGAAATGTAAAATCTAAAATTTATAAAATTCTAAAGGGACCTTACATCAATAGATATCAACAATTCATCAAAGTTTCATGAGTACTGCTGAAAGCATTTTTGAGTTATTGTCCGAAAACTGGAAAATCCCCCTTTTTTTTATGAATAAAACCCTGTAACTTGGAAACATAAAATCTAAAATTTATAAAAATCAAAAGGGAGCTCATGTCAATAGATATAAATAATTAACCAACATTTCTTGCAAGTTGGGGAAAGCATTCTTGAGTTATTGTCCGAAAACTGGAAAATCCCCCTTTTTTTAATGAATAAAACCCCATAACTTGGAAATGTAAAATCTAAAATTTATAAAAAATGAAAGGGAGCTCACATCAATAGATATAAACAATTCACCAAAGTTTTATGCAAATTGGTTAAAGCGTTTTTGAGTTAATGTCCGACATGTTGACAAGGGACGGACATCAGTATACCATAATACGTCCCATAAACGGGCGTATAAAAATTCAGCAATTTTTCTATTTGTAAACACGCATAACTCTAGAACGTTGTGTATAAGTTTTATAACATTTGGTTGAGACAAACTAAAGTTAGAGAACGGAAACACAAATTTCAGCACTTTTTATGTTTATAAAGGGACATAACTCAAGAATGGAAAAAAGTGTTGCCACCAAATTTCCTACTTAATCTGTATTATGTAGTAATAAGCATTGTGTATAAATTTCATAACATTTGGTTGAGGCAAACTAAAGTTAGAAAACAGAAACAAACAATTTGTACTTGATCTTAGTTTTGTGGTAATGAATATTGTGTATAGGTTTCATAATGTTTGGTTGGGGCAAACTTAAGTTACAGAATGGAAACTAAAAATTTTGCAATCTTTCGATTTATAAAGGGGCATAACTCAATAATGGTTAAAGTGACACTACCCAAATTCAACTTGATCTGTGTTTTATCAGTGGAAGTCAAAATTAAACATTGCATTGTATTAAGCATTGATTGTAGTTGATTCAACTATAATCATGGACAAAGGAAGAAAACTCCAATTTTAAAAATAACTTGAAATTTAGAAGATATAAAAATTTTGCAATTTTTCCATTTATAAAGGGGCATAACTTTAGAACGGTTAAAGTGACGCCACCAAAATAAACATGATCTGTGTTTTGTGGTAATAAGCATTGTGTATAAGTTTCATAACATTTGGTTGAGGCAAACTTAAGGTAGAGAACTGAAACTAAAAATTTTGCAATTTTTCCAATTATAAAGGGGCATAACTCTAGAGCGGTTAAAGTGACGCCACCAAAATTCAAACTTGATCTGTGTTTTGTGGTAATAAGCATTGTGTATAAGTTTCATAACATTTGGTTGAGGCAAACTTAAGGTAGAGAACTGAAACTAAAAATTTTGCAATTTTTCCATTTATAAAGGGGCATAACTCTAGAACGGTTAAAGTGACGCCACCAAAATTCAAACTTGATCTGTGTTTTGTGGTAATAAGCATTGTGTATAAGTTTCATAACATTTGGTTGAGGCAAACTTAAGTAATAGAACGGAAACTAAAAATTTTGCAATTTTTCCATTTGTAAAGGGTCATAACTCTAGAACGGTAAAAGTGACGCCACCAAAATTCAAACTTGATCTGTGTTTTGTGGTAATAAGCATTGTGTATAAGTTTCATAACATTTGGTTGAGGCAAACTGAAGTTAGAGAAAGGAAACCAACTTTGGGACATACGTACGTACAGAGGGACAAGGGTACAGCGGGGGCATAAAAATAATTCCTATATACATGTACATCCCTTAACTTCATTCAAAGGGGAAGGGAGCACATGCACTTGTTTCTATCCATGGGAAGAACCACTATCAACGTATATTTAGGAGCAAATATAAGTTGATAGTGGTTCTTCCCATGGATAGAAACAAGTGCCTGTGGACAAACAAATGGTGGAAGGGAGTGCGAAATACATGATTTTCTAATAATTGTGTTGTGAGCAACAGTGAACGGGAAAACTCAACAATCCAGAAAATATACACTCTCTTTATTCAATTCTTATATACAAATAATGTGCATAATTCCCTTATATATCCTGGAAGACAATTAATTACACTGACGTATAAATTTAAGTATCTTAAAGGTGTGAACCTTCAACATGGAAGATAATAAGCAGAATATTGACTATCAGAACATAAATAATAATACAGGTTAATTACACACATATTACAAGATTACTTTTATGGTACTGAGTCAATATTATTGATTTTATTCTGACAATATATCTGAAAACAACAATAATATGGTATCTATTAGTCTTCCAAGTTTTACCTCATAAACTAATAAAACAGCCAGGTTTACAAAATATCCTAATTGAACAGCACCAATGTTTTAATGGATAGAAAGACATTAATAATATATTGTCACCAGTGTACTTGAAAATCTGATTTTTGATCAGCAATAAATTTTAATTGCATGCTTTCAAATATCCCTATGGCCCATGTCAATTTGATACAAAATCTTGACGACTGTCAGATATAGGTAGTGATGGTTCTTAAAAATTGTATTTTCCCAATCAAGGTGACATAAATTGGTATAAACTATATATGTATGTATCATTGTAAGTCTTTTATTGTTTGAACATTTGCATCTGGCTGAATTGAGATCTATGCATCATCACTTTGAGCATCTGTTTTGTAACAGAAATAAAACAACCTTAAACCTTTCTGCAAACTTAACAAATAACTTTGAAAAACTCAAACTTTATCAGTATGAATTAACTTCTTTCCAGTCTATAATTTCCCTGAATTGTATTTGCATTGCATTGTTATTTCAAAAATCTTTAAAGTGTTTTTTAATTACCTTTTCCCATTTTGTAACAACCAAAGAATATGATGTATATGCTGATGCAGACAAATATAAGTATCTGTATACAAAGGTAATCCACTACATTCAAAGACAACTAATTAAAATGAACAAAATATTCTTTAAACGAAAAAACAAATATTCTTCAAAAAATTAAAATATAATTTTTCATGCTAATGGAAAACACCAAAAAAAAAAAATTTGCATGTAAAGAGACACCTTAATGTATCTTTATAGATGTAACCATGTCCTTCAAACTAATTTTAAATTACAATAAGGCTTAAACAATCTGTATGATAAAATCCAAAAGCTTGAAATTAATATCTTCTGGCTTGAGTTTATTTACAAGATAAGTACCCTAGAAAATTAAGTTCTCATTTTTTCAATTACCTAAATGGAATTTTTTTAAATCAATATGTTTGGGTAGTTATGCAATTGTATATGATTTCTTTACATGCAAATGCATACCGGTATTGTAATATACTAGTATCTAAGATGGAATATGTGTTTATTTCAAATTGAAGCAAGATTGCTAAAATTTTATTATGGTTTGGAGACTTTTCAACTTTCTTCCAGTACAAATATTGCCAAAGAACAATATCAAACTATAACGTCAAATTATACATTAACCAACCAAATCTTAAAACTTTTCCTGAATGCTATTTTTTTCTTTCTTTTTATTTGGGTGGTTGGTAGTGGGGGCATCAATCCTTGTAGAATCATATAGAAATGCCTTCAGAAATTGTCAATATTATTTGAGGAACACATATTTCATCTTACAGATATTACTGGTGATCATCTGTGGATAGGATATGTAAATCAAAATCATACAATTACAACAAGTATGAACATGCAAACTAAATCCATGTAGACTCTTAAAATCATCTTGTAATTCTTATTTGAAAAGTTAATGAAACATGAAATTGCATGTAACTTTATGAAGAAACATATCAAAACACATGTAATGAAGTAACTTTTTAAATATTCACTATACCTATTATTTTTTGGCCATGTGGCTATAGATATTTATGAACTAGTAACTGCCAGAAATTACAAAAATTTTAACAATTCTTTTTTTCTTCTTTCCAATCAACTGTTGATATTTTTTCTTAATATCTTTTTGATAAGACAATAATGACTGAATTGACAGTATGGTGAATAAATATAAAAGCTATTTAGTACATTATAAAAATTAACAGTGTAATATACAGGGCAGGTAAATCCCAATCAGATCTTCCATGACAACAAAATTCACTATGTCTACCATGTGCACCATTTAAATGTTGATACATTTTTAAATTCATTGAAGTCATAATATTGTACATGTTTTCTTGTCCTTGAAAGGGTTATCTTTCACAGGATGAATCAATGGGTCATCTGCCATTCTTTGATTACAAAAATGTATCATTTCTGGTAAAGTTTTTGTCATTCTGACTCTATCGATTTTGAGGTGGTATGTCATTTGTTCCCGTTGATTTTTCAGCTTGATAATTTGATCATTCTTTGATTGGAAAGGCATGGTGTTAGGAGTCACAGTTCCAAAACCTGTACAGGAAAAACAACATCAAATATCATGCAAACAGAAAAATTACAACACACATAACAGTAAACTTCAGTAACAATGGGTTTTAAAATTTTTTTTTATTTTAAGAACCCATTTGAATACACACTACCCCCCCCCCTGAATATGAAGTAAAATATGTTCGTTTTATTTTCTGTAATTCATATTGAACTGTTTAAAGATGTCAAAATTTTGCTTTATGTAAAAACTAATTGTAGCCAAATACCGAACATATAAATAGTTGCTTTAGAAGATAATTCTCAACACCAGGAATTACTGAAGTTTTGGAAATAAAACTAAATAAGTACAGAAGGTATATTTCTAAAAACCAAGAAGACCTGGGTTCATGGTAGCATGCTTGACTCAAATGCAGGTTATTGGTTCTATCCTCAGATGGGTAAATGCTTGGTACTTGCTGCTTCTCACACTTACATTAAAAATACAGCAAACATTGATGTTTTTATTCAGAATGAAAAAATTTGAGAATGCTGATTTGTATTCCAGAACTTACTCTGTACAAACACATTTAAAACCCACCCTGTATGTTTGCTTGGTACATACCATGTCATATGTCTAAATAAACATTTAATAATTGCCGATGGACATACAAGTCATAATCAGCAATATATTTTGACCACAGATAGTCAGCTTTTGAAAAAAACAAAAGTAGAACAGAAACAAAATGAATCACAATGATGATTTAGCGATTGTGCTCTTCGGTGGATGGCACATTGCTCATCTCAACTGCATGCTAAACTGTAGTGGTATGTAACCACAAGTCAATATTTTCTCATGAAACAAAATAAAATCCTCCATAAGGTGCAGCTTGATACGACCACCGATTTTGAACCCTGAACAGTTGAGGCAAGTATGGACACAACATTCAAGCTTGATACAGCTCCGAATTTGGATTGTGATTAGATATTCGATACAGCATAGGTTTCTGACACAGAATGAAAGTGGTCTAAGAAATTAAAAATTTGAAAATGGACATTTACCTATTATGGTCCAATATCCCATATCTAAATACATGGTTGATTCAGCATACCAAAGAACCCCATGAATTCCAATTTTTTTGAATTCAAACAAAGTTTAATTTTGGACCCTTTGGACCTGAATGTGGATCAATTTAAAAAAGGGGCCGAAAATCCAAAATCTAAATACACGTTAGATTCAATATTTTAAAGAACCCCAAGAATTCAAAACTTTGAAAATAAACCCCATTGAAATTGGTCAAGAATTTATACAAAGTATTAGAAAAGTATTGCTTTTGGTCCCTATATATAGCTAATCCCTAAAATTCAATTCCAACCTTCCTTTTGTGGTATGGGACCTTGTGGTACAATTTAATAGAGATCCATACACTTATACTCAAGTTATTGTCTGAAAACCAAATGGAGTCATACCATTATATGACCGCAAAAATTTTGTGCCAAAAGTCGCATAAAAAAATCAACAACCGGGTCAACTGTGATTATATATTGTTATATATAAATGTCTATAATAACTGAGAGTCTGAAAAATTAAACCTCACTGTATCTTGAAGTTCTTATTCTAAATGTGGACCACAAAATCACTTTAACCACAGACTGAACCTTATTGTTGACAACTTCAGAATGTATGATTGATTGTATGTCTTGATTCAGCGACAATAAATACCTATCACTGTTCTCTGATAAAAACCACAAAAAAAAAGAAAAACAATTATGCTAAGTATTATTTCCATGTATGCTAATGCACATAGTTTTTTAGATACTGTTAGAATTTTATTTATAGGGTACATAAAATATATTTTTAACACATGTCCACTCTTTAAAAGAATCTTTGCAAAAATGATATTATTAAAAGACGACTGTTTAATTCATAAAGGATAGAAATTAAAACCTTTTCATTACAATTGTTAACCATGCTATTTGTCTTTGTCATTCTATCTTGCATGTGTCATGCATTTACCGAAGCTATCTAAAAACACTAATGCATGTAAAGCATTTACATACATGACATATACATGTACATGTATAACAATGCATGTCAGAGACAATACAAAAATAGTGAGTTGTGTAAACATTTGTACACATGCTTTCAAAGTTGCTCCTGTTTTACTCTTCTTATATTTACTTGGCTTTGACACCCTTTACTGCTTTAAGCCAGTTTTGAAATCACAAAAGATTTTGCTATAAATAGGATCAGACCGCTTTTTAATAAACTGTTTCGCTGAGCACAGCTGGATACGCCCGCAGAGGTCCAACCCTGGACAGTTGGGGCAAAAATGGACACAATATTCAAGCTTGATACAAGTCTGAATTTGGATTGTAATTAAATATTTGACATATTATAGGTTTCTGAATAAATGTAGTCAAAGAACTTGAAATTGGATGTATGGATTGAATTTATATTCAATTAAAGATTTCTTGCTGTTGTGCAATACACTGTGCTGTTGCGCAATACCTAGTACATGTAAATCTGTTGTCAGACTATAAACAAATAAAGTTCAATTTCTTCTCAATGTCATATTTGAAATTTATGAAAATCAATAGGGAGATTACATTTATAGCTATAAATAATTCACCAAAGTTTCATGAGAACTGCTGAAAGCATTTTTGAGTTATTGTCCAAAAACTAGAAAATCCCCCCTTTTTTAATGAATAAAACCCCATAACTCAGAAATGTAAAATCTAAAATTTATAAAATTCAAAAGGGAGCTTACATCAACAGATATAAACAATTCACCAAAATTTCTTGCAAATTGGTGAAAGCATTCTCGAGTTATTGTCGGAAAACTGTAAAATCCCACCTTTTTTAATGAATAAAACCCCAAAACTCAGAAACGGTAAATCTGAAATTTATAAAAAATGAAAGGGATCTCACGTCAATAGATATAAACAATTCACCAAAGTTTCATGCATATTGGTTAAAGCTTTTTTGAGCTAATGTCTGACATGTTGACGATGGACAGTCGGACAACGGTATACCATAATACGTCCCGTAAACGGGTGTATAAAAAATCCAGAACCTGCACACATGCAAATACAATGTATTGTATGTACTACACAAAATTGTGAACTACTTACCGGTACCTAGACTATCTAGATGTTACCACACAGTTTGGACTAGATCCTCTACCTGAAATGTAAATCTAACTTATTAGTTGTTGAATGGAATCATTCCCTGAATGTAAAAGTTTCCTCTAAGGAGGTACATATATGTTCTCCTTTAGACTCAATGTTACTTGATATGATATTAACTAATTCTTCTCAAACAAACATTTAGGGGGGTTAAAGTGTTAGCAGAAAAACTGGTTAGATGACAGCATTGTGGTCGTCACTGTTAACAAATATTCTATATGAAAGAAATGAAATAGTTGAAAGGATTTTCATTTGTTGGTACTATTATCATCCAAGTAAATTAAAGGTACATCACTATATAAGGACAATTTCAAATTTAAACTTATTATGGTTAAAGTTATATATTAATAGTTAACATCTCAATTCTTGTTTGAGAAACAACAAAAATTCTTTTAAATACAATAGACTCTTGTCTTAATTTAAAGGTGGACTTCACTTTTAGGGCACCCTTTAATTTGTACAGATATAAACAAGGCACTGTTCAATGTGGATAGGGATTTAATCAAAATATACCATCTTTTCATATTTACTGTTAAGAAATAAAGATACATATATGTGTATAATGTTACTAATTAAATTCCTTTTGTAATAAAATTATTACTGCTAGACTCAATTAATAGAATCTTGATAGTGCAACTACCTCATTAATCTTTTTCAGTCGAGTTTTTTCTTCTTTTTGATCAAATAGGTGTTGATTTTAGGTACAAAAAAACATGATCAGTTAACATGTCTAATTATCTATTATGAAAAATAGAGAATACCACACAGCTGTTCATGCATGTGGTGGTGTTGTAGATGCAATCAAAACTATATCAGCTATTCTCTTTTAACTTTAATTTTATTAAGATAACAACAGTAAGAAAGCTATCGGAAATTCACAATCAATCTGACATCTCATCCGAACGATTAGTTGAAGTGGTCACACTTAAAATGAAAATATAAACAAACAGCTGATTGGTTATGTAATGTTTATCCTACATGTATGCATTTAAAATTAGAATTCAAACCATTGCCCAGTTCCCCTTTAATCGTCTACATTTCAAAATTTGAAGAGGTACAGTAGTGTTTCCTGCAGCTTTTTTCTCAGAAGGCACTCTTAGCACAATTGGCTACACTTTTAAGGGCACGCTTCGCGCGGAGGACTACACTTATAGGGCACTAGTACTCTTTACATAGACTTAAAGGCACTGTAATAGATAGGGATTTAATGGAACATACAATTGTTTCATATTTATTGGTAAGAAATAAAGATATGTATATTCATGATATTAGGTTGTTAACTTAATCCCTTTTTGTAATAAAATTATCACTTCTAGACTCAGCTAATAGGATGTTTATCATGTTCATTGTGCAACTGCCTCATTTCAATCAATAACTCCAGTTATAAACTTTAATACTGGATCACTGAGACTGATTGTCTAAGGATGTGTCGTGAAAGTGGACTTTGCATGACCAAGAGAATATGCACAAAAGATGTGCCAAATACCTTTTGGATCTCGCATGTTTATACCAATCAAAGCTACCTTGGCTCATAACTGTACAAACAGTTTTAGAATATTCAAAGATTGTATAGCAAGACTGACTATACATACAATGTACATGTATTCTTCTGCTTTTCATCTTTTTTCCATCTGTGTTTTTTTGTGTGTTTTTTTTTTTTTTGAAAGGTTGTTGATTTTTTTGTACTATTCAAAACTATATGAGCTATATTCTTAACTCTAATTTTATTAAGATAACAAAAGTATTATGTCGGTTAAAAGCTCATTAGAGCTTATGTTATGTCCTTGTTTGTATACTATGCCGACTCTAAATAAAGCTTATTTATATGAAAGCCGTCGTAAATTCACACCCAATCCGACATCTCGACCGACGGAATAGTATATATAGAAAATATAAACAAACTGTGGTAATGTTCATCCCATTCATCGTAAAATTATAATACAAACAATCGCCTGGTTCCCTTTTAAATTGTCTACATTTTGATATTGTAGAGGTACAAATCGATGTTTCCTATTAGATACAATCATCAATCGTATTTGTACTCTGTCGCTTCAAAACTGTTCAAACATTACGAAATTCAATAAAGTGTTGGCCATTGAAATTTTGATTTTGGTTCCAAGGGAAATAACTCGAAATGGTCTTGCTAAAAGATGAATTGCGGAACCGATATTAAATCACGACGGGGCGTTCTAAAATACGATGGAAAAGGGACATGGCGCCAAATTTTTTTCCTTAAAAGGGCAGGGCGTCAAGAAAACAAGGCATGGCGCCATACCAAGCCAAAACATCCTGCAGGAAACACTATACAGAGTCGATATTGTCCTTATTTGATTTAATCATCAACCATATTTGTATTCAGTTGCTTACCAAATTCAATAAAATGTCTGCTATATAAATTTTGATTTCCTCCAGAGGGAAATAACTTGAAATGATCATATTAAAGGATGAAAGACAGAACCGATTTTAAATTTGGCAGGGCATTATAAAATACGACACAAAAGGGGCATGGTGCCAAATGTTTCACAAAGAAGTACAGGGTGTCAAGAAAACACAACAGGACATGGTGCCCTCCTGAAACACCCTGTAAGAAACACTTTCTTAAAATAACATAGTCATATATATGCATAGACTTTTATGCAAGTAACCTTATGAAAATAAGCAACATCTAAAATACACAAGAAAATGTTTATAAATGTATGTTGCTGTCAGTACGTCTTTTCTGTTTTCGTTGTGTGTTAGGATTGGTCTCTCACTGACGAATAACCTACATCCTTTATATCTTATACATGTACAGACCAAATATGCATGTTGGATCATCGGAATATCCATGATATTTTGGCCACTGGACATTGAGCAAGTAACAACCAATCAATGTTTAAGAGTTTCACAAGTTTGTTCCAAAATGTTCATATTATTACACTGAATTTTTGCTGTCCCATGGACAATGCCTTGGAAATGAAATATGTGCACAGAAATAAACCCAATTAACTGTTTATTGGTGTATTATCTATATGTACATTTACACCGGTAGTATTGCTTTGAAAAATGCTCTCAAATGTCTGCCATGCACCACATAATTACCTAGTGAAAAAAAACACTGGTAAAAATGGAAATTGTAAAATCTTGTTAAACATGTTTACATAATGTATATTTGTGTGACAAAATTTCCACATATTATGACATTGTTGTTTATAATGTCATGTATCATGTATATGTTGTTTATCCACAATATCAGTAACCTAGTTGACAAAATGGATATCTTTCAAGCATCAAATAAGGTAATTAAACATTATTTAAACTACAGTTTTTGACATTTCTACCTCTTAAAAGATTATTAAGATGCATATTAGATCAAGTCTATTCAAAGCCCCACCCAGATGTTCACTTTCTACCAAGTATAAATTGTTGAAGTCTTACTCTTTGACGAATAAACAATAAAGATCATAGTTTGCGATCGTAAACGATATGGTTAACGCAGAAACCTATGCTACCATTTTAGCAGTTCAAACATCATTATTTTTGACAGTTGTGTGCATAAATTTGTAAATATTCAATGTTGACAACGGATAAAATCATACTATTATAATCACCTTTACACCCTACAAATACCGAAATCTCTCGCTTTTTGAGTCTGCTTTACTGACTAAAACAAACATTAAATGACATAAAGCTAGAATGAATTTCGGTCGCCGACAGGTGCTTGCTTTCTTTCCAAACCAAGTCAAAATGGCGACGTATTGATTTCGATAAACCTATAGTCTGTTTCCAACTTTGAGACTGGTTCCGATCTTTACCTCTTAAATATAGCACCCAATTTACCACCTTTAGCATCTGGAATATCTATCTTCCCTACCTAAGTGTGCTCTGAATTGTATGACAATGTGTAAAAAATACATTGGAAATTATTCATCTTAATCACATTTTCATGATTTTAGTCAAAGAACGGCATTTTTTGCTGTAACTTTACTTGTTATACTTATCTAATCTAAATAAATTTCGTCGGTGATTTGTTTATAAAAACTGGCACAAATTAAAGAATCTTCATACATATTCAAGCCAAATGTCATTTTAACGAGCATTCTGAGAGTATTGCATGATAATACATATCGCCCCATACCGGTTAAAAATTCATTGTAATGGAACAAAATGCTAACTTGATCTATAACTTGTCATGGTGTAAACTATATAACAAATATCAAGTCAATATCTTCAAGTATGACGAAAAAAAGTATGGAAAAACTGATTATTTAAGTGAATTTTCTTAGTCCAAGGACAATAACTCTGCATAAAATTATCAGACCGGAACAAAATTCGAACTTGATCTGTAACTTGTCATGAACAAACTATAAATTAATTATCAAATCAATATCTTCATGCATGACGAAAAAAAGTGCGGAAAACTGATTATTTGAGTGATTTTTTTTAGTCCAAGGACCATAAATCTGCACAAAATCATCAGACCGGAACAAAATTCGAACTTGATCTGTAACTCGTCATGATAAAACAATACATCATATATCAAATCAATATCTTCAAGCACGAAGAAAAAAAGTGCGGAAAACTGATTTGCCGGACTGTCGGATGGACAGATAGGCGGACGGAATGCAAACCTAAAGTCCCCTTCGACTACGTCGGTAGGGGACTAAAAAGAGGGGTCCATGAACTCGTTTTCAAGCCGATGATAAATCAGTCTGAATGATAAAAATCAGTCGAAAATGCATCTTTTCCCGATATGTGACAGTTTTGTACGTCGTGAAAAATAACATTTTACGTTAGCAACGTCATAACCTTCCCTGTAACTGTATCGTATGTCCTTTTTAAACTGTATACCTACCTAAAATATATTTTTCTACTAGCTGTATACCGTAACTTGAAAATAATGAGATTATGTCATTATGTATAACGCGGGACATATCAGAGATTGATTTGAACAACTTGAGTGAAAATAGGTTGAAATATGAACGAATATTTACAATATGTAACATGAATCAAAATTTAAGCATAAATGAATATATATATGGTATTCATCACAACAAGCGCCTTGTATGCAACTACAACTGAGCTTGGGCACAGTGTCTATATGAGCGGCAAAATATTGTCCCCAAGACAATATTTCATGACTTTGTATCATGAAATTTTGTCCCCTATCTATGAAATATTGTCCAGAGAATGACAAATTTTCATATGAAATTTTGTCCATATGTAGACAATATTTCATAGATGAATAGCAGAAATTTTGTCTTGTTAAAGGGAGGTTATCAACAATTACGTTTTGTAAATATTAAGACATTATTTCATAGATGGGTTGTCATGAAATTTTGTCTCAATATTTCATTGGGAACAAATGTTACATATACAGCCATACCTGATAAGGATTTGAAATCTGAAATAGATCAAGGATTTGTATAGTAAGATTGTACGACTATTGTAAAAAAAAAAGTCCCATATTTTTATTAATGTATAAGTTTTATCGTTACTGTAATTTATCGCTTGCGCTTATACCTAAACATGAGACTTGTATTTGTTAATCCTGTAGCATTTATAGCAGTCTCAGCGTACCCACAGGCTCTTTTATTTTCCTTTTATTTTTTGTGTTTAGTTTTTTAGTAAACATTCGTTAATTTTTAAACTTATTTTCACTTAATTGATGCTCTTATCCAAGCGATATTTCAATAACAGTATAGTTGATATTATTTAACGACTTATACTAAGTCATGGTATTTAAATCTGAGATTACTCCGAGATTACTATACCACATATGTTAAAGTAATCTCAGTTTTGGTTAAAGAAATTAAGGAAATAAATTTTACAGAACTGATTATTTATTCAAAAGATTTTTCGAGTTTTTTTTTTTGTCGAGCCTGCGACTTCTGTCGCAGAAAGCTCGACATAGGGATAGTGATCCGGCGGCGGCGGCGACTAACTACTTAAAAGCTTTCTATTTTAGAAGGTGGAAGACCTGGATACTTTATACTTTGTATATAGATGCCTTATGTTATGAAGTTTCCGTCTGTCATATGTCCATTGTCCTTTACCCCATTTTCATGTTTCAGCGACTACTAGAAAAAAAAGTTAAGATTTTTTGTTATGTTAATTTCTCTCTTATAATGAGTAATATGATAACTTTATTTAGTATGTGCGTACCTTGCCTGTCAGACAGTTTTCATCTGACCTCCACCTCATTTCATGGATCAGTGAACAAGGTTAAGTTTTCCTGGTCAGTCCATATATCAGATACTATAAGCTATAGCGTCTACTATATTTGGTGAATGAAATGATTGTAAGGTGTACATGTCCAACTGGCAGGTGTCATCTGACCTTGACCTCATCTTCATGGTTCAGTGGTTAAAGTTAAGTTTTTTGTTTTGATCTTTTTTTCTCATATTATAGGCAATAGGTCAACTATATTTGCTGTATGGAAATATTTTACGATGTACATATCAGTCTGGCACGTTTTATTTGACCTTAGCCTGATTTTCAAGGTTCATTGCTCAGTGTTAAGTTTTTGTGTTTTGGTCTGGTTTTTAAAAAAACTATATGCAATAGGTCAACTATATTAAGTGTATGGAATTATGTCTGTCTGGCAGGTATCATCTTACCTTGACCTCATTTTCGTGGTTCATTGGTCAATGTTAAGTTTTCATGGTTAAGTTTGTTTCTTAGATACTATAAGCAATAGGTCAACTATATTTGGTGTATGGAATGATTGTAAGGTGTTTATATGTCTGTCTGGTAGGTATCATCTGACCTTGAAATCGTACTTTCTTGTTAATTTGACCTGTTGACACAATTAGTAATGCATTTCTGTTATTCAATGTTTACTTATTTTGTGTTATATCTCGTCTCACTATTCAAAAGTTTTAATATATACCACCTTTGATAAGTATGTAGTATGACGATAAATTTTCACTTCTGTTCTCGTACTCCTAATTACAAAATTATTATATCTAAATTACCTGTGTACGTTATTTTATTGAACGCCATTTTGTCCCAGGTTAGCGTTGTCTTTTTGACATTGTTCCTACATCTTTTTTTTATTAATATTGTATCTTTATTGTGTCATAGGTCAAACTTATTCGTTCAGTGTATGTTTACTTGTTTTTGTTTATATGTCTTTTTGATGGAGTTAAGCCATTTCAATTGGTATTTTATATTGGTTCTTTTTATGTTGTAATGTTACACTACTGTTTCAAGTTAGGGTGAAGGTTGGCGTCTGTTAAAACGTTTAAACCCGCTGCATTCGTATGCACCTGTCCTAAGTCAGGCCCCTTTTGTTAAGTGGTTGTCGTTTTTTGGTGTGGTTCATAAGTGTTTCTCGTTTCTCCTTTTATATATAGATTAGACCGGTGCGTTCCCTGTTTGAATTGTTTTACACTAGTCATTTTGGGGCCCTTTATAGCTGTTCGGTTTGAGCCAAGGCTCCGTGTTGATTGCCGTACTTTGACCTATAATTGTTTACTTTTTATACATTGTGACTTGGATGGAGAGTTGTCTCATTGGCACTCATACCACATCTTCTTATTAATATTGACCTCATTTTCATGGTTAAGTTTGTTTCTTAGATACTATAAGCAATCGGTCAACAATATTTAATGCATAGATTGATTGTAAGGTGAATGTGACTGTCTGGTAGGTATCATCTGCCCTTGACCTCATTTTCATGGTAAATTAGTCAGTGTTAAGTTTTCATGGTTTAGTTTGTTTCTTAGAAACTATAAGCAATTATTATAGGTCAACTATATTAATTTGATGTATGTAATGATTGTAAGTTGTACATGTATTTCCGGTTTGGTTTATCTGACCTTCACCTCATTTTCTTGGATCATGTCAGATTTATGTGATACTTGTAGTAAAGCTTTATATTTATAGGACTATCAACATAAAGCCAATTGTTAGTAAAGCAGGCGAGACATTTCAGCGTGTGCACTCTTGTTAAAACTCTTACTAGGGTTGTCTAGATTTTTGCAAATATATTATGTGAGGTCTTCTTTGTGCATTTACACTAAATGTTCATATCAGAATAGGGTCCGTTTGAATTTGCCTATTAACTTAAATCATGTATTTGTTTAGTAAGATATCAAACATCTGGACACACATAACATACTAGTGGACAATCAACATGGCTTCAGAGCAAAACGCAGCTGTGAAACAAAACTTCTTATATTAAGTCATGAACTACTCAGTTACCTTCATAACGGCATACAAACAGACCTTATAATTTTAGACTTCTCCAAGACATTTGACAAGGTACCTCACAAAAAAATTATTGAGGAAGATGGATAATTATGGCATAAGGGGAAATACCTGGAATTGGGTATCAGCCTTCCTTAATAATAGAACGCAACAGGTTGCCTTAGATGGGGAGGTATCTGGTCAAATGCCTGTGGTCAGTGGGGTGCCTCATGGCTCAGTCTTGGGTCCTCTTCTTTTCCTGATTTTCATAAATGATCTTCCTGCAACAGTAACATCAAAAACACGCTTGGGAACAGACTTGGGGTATGCAATTTCACCCAGAAAAATGCAATTCACTTACTGTAACAAGATCACAGTCACCTTACAAACATAACTATATACTTAAAGGCCACATGTTTTTGAATCCGACAACACAGCAAAATATTTATCTTGGTATCACCTTATCCAACAACATGTCTTGGGATACTCATACAAACAACATTACAGCTAAAGCAAATAAGATCTTGGGCTTTTTAAAAAGAAACCTAAAAATAAACCAAGAAGAAACAAAAAGTTTGGCTTATAAATCTA